CGTGACGACTGGTGAGGCGCAACATTAAAGACTATCTGTCATGCTGCAATTGTTTCCTTGTCGAGATCTTCGGATCGCGGGTAAACCTGCTTATGTCGTCGTGTGGGTTAGGTTCGGTTCAGCTTGTGAGAAAATGACGTGTACGGATACGAGTGTGGGTAAACGTTCACGAAGGTCGAGTGGATACTTCAAGAAATACCAGGTCTGCCACCGTTTGGGATTTTTTTTAATCACAAGAAGCCACATTCGCACCACTTTTGCAATTGCTGTTCAAAGAAAAAGAGCGAGTTTGGAGGCAAAGCTTCCTTTAACCCTTAAGTAATTGTGACTTGAAGTGCTGGAAAATATAACTGGTGGTCTGCAACTTGGCGCATTTGATTGGGAAATTGATTGGGGTGGGTGGGCGGATGAGATGGGCGCACACCTCTAACCTTTGTATGGATAAGATGTCCACGAGCATGGAGTGTATACTTCAAGAAACACCACGCGCGATGTCTTTTGTGCATGTTTTTAAAACAAAATTATCAGATTCGCCTCCTTCACAAATTTTCATCAGCGAAAACATCGACTTTGTAGACAAAGCTTCCTGAAACTCCTTCATAATTTCGAATTTAAGTGCTGGTAAAATATCATTGGTGACAACAAGTGGATACCGCTGATTCGGGAGTGGTACCGGGTGGGTATGGGTACAATCCCTCAGGTAGCATGAAGTTTGGGTAACGGAAATCTTACCCTTTGAATGTCCGTATTTCAAAGTCCCTCTGATCGGGAGGTCTCAGCGTATCATGCATTACGAATATTAAAAGCCGCTGCGGTCGCCCTATCTCGACTGCCGGTCACGATCCTCGGGGGTCGGGGGTCTCTCGGGTCATCAATGCACGAGCAAAGTCGCAGGAGGCTTATAAAATGCATTACACCAATGACGTGTTTGGCGTTATAGAGCTTTGTGTTTCTGACATCACTGCAGAGCAGGCCACAAAAATTCCCCACGATTGTCCGTAAACTTCCTCATCGTCTGTCTTGCTTGCTGTACCGCCACAGAGCATCACGTTACGTCACGCCATCCAATGGAAATGGTTGACGAACGGCGGGCACCTTGAGGCCCCTATCCTCCGCTTTTTTACATGGCTTCGTGAGTGATTGACCGCATCTTGTTGTGTTGCAGGAGTGGCTGGCGTGGTTGTAGGACATCCCCTGGACACAGTCAAGGTGAGTCCAACATCACCGCCTGATCAACATCACCGCTGATGCTGTGATGATGTCAGTGCTGTGATGACAGTCGACAGGCGCCCGCGCTCTCTTCCGCCAACAGCCCAATGCGCAATAAGAAAACCCGTGACCAACTGCGCGTATGACTCAGCCAGTCCCGGAGTACAAAACGGACCAGGGTGGTGATTATGAGTACGCGTTCAACGATCAGCTATGTGCAAAACAGATATTGGGAGTGGGACGTGGGTTGCAGAAATAGTAAAAAGGTGTAGTTCCAAAGTTTGATGTCTGGGTGGCTCCACTAGGCTCATGTTGCTTAACTAGATGCTTGCTGACTTCATGAGTTAAGCATAACTTAAACGTTTTTGTAGGGATCCGGGAGAAATTTCTGAAAGGATTTCCATTAGAAGGAGCAAGACAAACTTGCGGCATGCGTCTCCTGCGAAATGCAACAGTCTCTGGTGAAGTTGAGAACCAATGAACTGCCTTTTTGAGCGACGCGGTTTTCCCGTCCAAGCTCCTTTCCCAACTACTGCAATTCGGTTCTTGGTACAGCAATTCGCTATTGATGAGGTTTGCCCACCAATCACTGCACGGTTTCTTCCAGTGAGTTCGGGAACTGCAAGGGCAGAGCGTACTTCGCATGCAGATGACCCCAATAAAGCCGGTTTGCGGCACCGCTTGTGCTCTGGAGAGCACCACGATACCTCTCTGGGAATCACATTCGGTAGTGAGAGCAAGAGTCATTTGACACTTCTTGGGGCACTAGGGTACTTCTTGCTCTCGTCTTCCGTGAATATGAAAGATGCTTAAAATGATTCCTTGCTGATCTGATCCTGATTTGTCTTGCATTGGATACCAATTAAAATTATTCTTAACTGCAGTTGATTTTGATTCGTTTCGAATTGGATGCCAACGGAAGGAAAATAAACGGTGTTTAGCGTTACCTGGAGATAGGGCGTGGGATCAGAGTGAAGCAGGTTAACTTTTCTCGAATATACTGGAATAGGTTCATGACACGCGAACGCCGGTGTCCTCTCGGCAAAAACTGCATGCATCATGCCAACCCTGCAGCATGGCCTCCTGCTGACTTGCTTTGGCTACATATTTCATCATCAGGCATGCCGAGGGCCTCCCTTTAGAATTCACTTAAGAAATCCTCAGCGAGGCAACAGCAGCGCCGGCGCGATTCGGCGAATGACAAGGGAGGTTTGCATAACCGTATTCTTCACACTGCTCATTGGTCAAATCTCCGTCGTGCCCAGCCGAAGACGGCCATTGGGGCCCTAGCCTGAAATGGACGGTGGATTTCGAACGTTTCGTGGTACGATCGGAAGTCGCCTGCACAGGTCAAGGCTCACCTAGCCTGGCAGAAATGAAGGACATCTGCAATACCACTCGACTTCCGTATGGTTCGAGGCATGTGTTTGCTCAGAGTTTGCAATCTGCATGTGTTATAAAGTACACTTTTTAAAGCGCGAAAGAGGAGTGTTGAGATATTCCGCTCACTTCTCTGGAATGCTTTTCAACTCCTTTGGCATGCTGCGAAGCAAGCATGAAACATGCCCGGGTTTTATTAGCTGTGGCGCAGAGGTCCTTTGCCGAGCTCCTGTCTCGGTCATCGTATCTCTTGGCATCGTTCCGCAACACGCATATCCAAGGCTCATAAATAAGATGCCCTTGCTCATAACTGACTTAAGAGCCACGCTGTCATATGCCGTACTCGATCTCTATGTCCTGAGAGCCATGTGTGTAGGCTCTGCCGAAGCTCGCTGGCCGTGGTGTCGAGCCGGGGTCTGAGCGGCACGTGCGCTGCTGCCGCCGCCGTTCGGCGCGCCACGGCCGACCCCGACCGCGCCGGCCAGGGGCCGCCTAAAAACGCGTTTCTCTCCCCTCCTGCGTCACAGTGGCCGGTGGTCAGGCCGGTCGTGATCAGTTGATAGCTGGCCGCCGGGTGGCGGCTATCCTGCCATCGTCCTCAGCGGCGCGCTCATCTGATTGGCGCAGCTCGGACCGGTGCCGGTCGCCGCCGCGCGAGGCACCCCTACCAGGCTCTTCGGTTGTGAACCCTCGTGCTACGTGCTTCACACCAGACCCCGGTCACTCGCCCCCCCCCCCCCTCCCCCTCCCCACCGGCTCAGCCAGAGGAAGGCCTCTCCGTGCCAGGTACCCCCCGGCCGTGAACTTCCCTACTGCGCGCTTCAGCCCGAACCCTTTTCCCTCGCCGCCTCCCCCGGTTCAGCCGCCAGAGGAAGATCTCTCTGTGACAGGTTGTTTCCGGGCAATTGAGCATCTACCATGAGGCTATGGCCCAACAGGATGGATGGAGCAGTCGCTAATCGGCCCGTTGACATTGACTGTGGCGCTAGACGTGGGCACAGGAGCCTGCTTTGTCAATAACTGGCTGATACCTAATTTTTTAAAGGTACGTGCGTGGCGTTAAAGTATATTACCGGAGTTATTGATCCCTTGGCATATTGCAACGGCATGGTTCAAGGGTGAATCATCGTTAAAAAGGCCAGAATAGGTCTGTCTAGTGCACTGTGTTTGCCTGTCTGGAATGCTGGTCTCGGCTGCCCTGTTTTATCTGACCTTTGCCCCGGCAACCATGCCGCTTCCACTTGACCTGTCGCCGCCTGTTCGTACACCGCTTCTGCAGAGCACAAGCGCGTCCAACGGGGGAGGCAGACGCGCGCCCGACGGAGATGTACCCAACACGGGGCCGGCGGTACAGACAAGCTACTTACATAATCCATTTGTAAACGAAACATAAGTGCCTTCGTGACTGTTGGGAAGACACCTCGCTGCCAGACACTTAGCCAGGCATGGTTGTTGATCATAAGAGAGAGTAGTTCTATGACGTCATTGTGAGTTGGCGCCATGGGGCCACAACAGGATTGCCATGCCTAGCAACACTGAGAACAAGCTCTAGGCCTTAAACCACGGACCACGGCCGAAACTTCTTCGAGATGTAAACGGGTCGATTCGTTGGATTCTAACGCAGCCTTTATGTTTCAGGTGCGAATACAGACACAATGTGCAAGAAATCCGACGTATCGAGGAACATTTCACTGTCTCCACAGTATTCTAGTCAAAGAAGGAGTAAGTATTACGCAGCTGTGTGGGCAAGCTGCTGATCACGTATTTTGCATCCACACGCACTACTTCTGGCTTTGCAATATCGAAAAATTTGGAGCAGCCCTATCTTCAGTTACCGCCTGCCCATGATACATTGATGCTCTTGCCACTACACATAATTTGCCAAGTCAGCATACGAGCAGGCTCCTAACCTGCGGTAGACTTAGCTCCTTGATGTCGTGCCAGCTTCCCAGCTAGCTGCATATTGTTTGGTGTCTAACGATTGTGTAGCGTCATGCATTCGAACACATGGATACTGTTTCGGGCCGGACGATTGTCCGAAAACAGAGCGTGATAGGGTTTAATGATGAGCGGTGTCATAATCGCAAGACACTGGAATAAGCACATCTTGGCGAGCACATGTTGTTCATGTACATGTAGTTCCGGGCGGCAGTAAATGGCCACACATTGTTTGCTGCCTACTGCCGCCCGCTGGTTGCCGAGTGGTGTGCATTGTGTTCATTTGCTGTACGTGTCAGGCGATCGCCGAAACCGAGGAGGCGGCGCTTACCTGACGGGATCCCTCGGCTGGCAGACGCGGGGCCTGTACCGCGGCCTGACGTCTCCCATGTTCGGCGTGGCGGCCGTGAACGCGCTCACCTTCGGCATCCAGGGCAACGTGCGCCGGCTGATGGCAGACCCGGACTGCCTGAGCGCCCAGTGCCGGGCGGGTATGATCGCCGGCGGCTGCCAGGCGATCGTCGTCAGCCCGATGGAGCTGGTCAAGAGCCAGCTGCAGGTGCAGAGCGACACCACCGGCATGGGCAGGCGCTTCTTCAGATCGCCGTGGGACTGCTGCCGCCAGCTGTATGCCAGCACCGGCTGGCGTGGTCTGATGCGCGGCTACTGGATCACCGTGGCCCGCGAGGTGCCCGCCTTCGGCCTCTACTTCGGCACCTACGAACTGCTCACCACCGGCCTGGTCGGTGACCAGCGCAAGAGCCTGTCGCACATGCTGCTGGCAGGCGGCATGGCCGGCGTCGCCTCCTGGGTCTTCACCTACCCCATCGACGTGGTCAAGACGCGCATTCAGACCGATGGCATGGCCGGCATCCAGCTCTACTCGGGCTACATCAACTGTGTGCACCATACATTCCAGCGCGAGGGCTGGCGCGGCTTCGTGCGCGGTGTTAACTCGGCCTCGATCCGCGCCTTCCCCACCAACGCCGTCACGCTGGCCGTGGTGTCCGTCATCTTGGAGCTGAACCAGGAGCGTAGGCGCGCCGCTGCCACCGCCCAGGAGTCGCTGCAGCTGCCTGAGGAGCCGCCACGACGGCAGCTGCTCGGCCAGCAGCTGCCGCTGGGCCCGCTGGGCTCGCTCGGCGCGCCGCAGATCACCGTCACGCAGATGACCGTGCAGATCGAGACCAGCGACGGTGGCGACGCGGCGCGCCGGCGCAAGGCGACCATCCGGCTGGACGGCCAGATGGCGCTGGGGCAGCTGCGCTGCTTGCTGGACCGCGAGGTGGAGGCTCTGCAGGGCCAGCTGCTGGGCCCAGGCGGACAGTCGGCTCTGCCCATCAGTGCGCAGAGGGCGCCCGTGGCGCCGGAGCCGATCCGAATGCGAGGCGCAGCCGAAGGGCGGCGCCACTGGCGGGACAGCCGCTGTCACCGCGCCGCCCGCCGCAGCCGCCGGTGATGGCGACGAGGAGGAGGAGGAACAACTGGAGATGCAGACCGACGTACTACCCTGCCGCCACGTGCGCCGTGAGACTACTGTCGTCACGCACATCGTCGAGTACGATGTGGGCGACGACCAGATGTCAAGATTATTGGAGACAGCGGCTGTTTAGTGGCTCCGGGCGCACAGAAGCGTGGATGTGCCCTGCCGGCTGCTTTGATCGCGGTTCTGTCCTCGAATTGTCACAGTGACGCCCCGCAATCGATGTAAGTTTTCTCCACATGGTTTCAATGCCTTCCATAAGGGTTGTGATGCCGTCTGGAAATGCTCGTAATACTATGATCGAATGTCAACATCGCGACCGGGTGATTGCAATTTCGGTAACTAACACATCCGTCCCAATCCGTCCATTGGTACTCCATGTTGAATGAATGCCTGTTTTTTTTTTGTTCTTTTTTACAGGTCGGGATTTGACCTGACCGTACGGCCAACCGTGCAATGACCTAATGTAGGAGCATATCTGCTGGTTAGTGCGTATTGTGCGTTGAATGGTTTGACGGCCAGGGGTCGGAATGGGGTTAGGGGCGAGGGAATAATCCAGTCAGGGTCGCCCACCGTTTGGTATTTTGGAAACGGTGCGGCGGGCAAGCATGTGTGGAAATGTTGCGCTCCTTGTGCCCTTTTGTCATGGTTTGTGGGCCTGGGCATGCTGAAAGTTGAATATGAAATGTCAAGACTGATCTAAGCGAAGCGATTCCTTGCTCTTTTGCGCAATCATTTTGTTCTTTGTACGGGATGTATGGATTGACGTTCTTACCATTACTTCTGCATAAATGTGAGGGCTGGGTGTACAATGGTTTGGGTAGTGGACCGTCAGGATTCACATCTGTGTCTGTCATATGTAGCTTTTCTTGATGCGGTATGCGAAATGTAGCTTCTCCTGATGCGATATGCGAAATGTAGCTTCTCCTGATGCGGTATGCGATATGTAGCTTTTCCTGATGCGGTATGCGAAATGTTGGTTTTCCAATGATGCACTCCCGCAGTGGGGGCTGCTAGTGCCCGTCATTGTGCCTCCCATGGCTGGCAAATCACGTTGCACGCTCGCACCGTGGGCTGGTTGTGGGAAGGCTGCTGCATGAGCATGGTGAAGCCAGACGGTGGTCCTCACCATATGAGTCGGAGACCGTGGGCTTTGAGGTTTTCCGCGATGTTCTGAGGAAGAGGAGGTGCTTTTATTGTTAATGTCAAGCCATTTTAAAGTGTTTGATGTGTTGTTTTGAGTGATATCATGCTAATGCTCAGACAATGTGCAACTAATGGTGATAGTTCGAAGTGGAGAAATGAACATGGAGTGGTGATTTGAGTGTGCAGGAGTGTTTGTGTCGGAATGGTGTGACCATTCCTGCGCATCGGCGATTCCACGGACCATGCAAATGGTGCTACATGGGCAAACAGTGATAGATTGCATGTAACCCTGTTTTAGACATACATTTTTCCAGTCAATCCCATCGCTTTCCCGATATAACCTAACCTATTTCCAGTCAATCCCATCGCTTTCCCCTATAACCAGGTACGTGTATTCCACAGATCTTGCACAATTTCTGCTTTCTCGTAGACTTGAGCAGCCGATGTAACCGGCAAGCCTTGAACGTTCTGGTGTTTTTTGTTGACTCTCATCGTCCAGAAGGCATCCCCACACCGCGTGTCATCTGAACTGCGCGCTTCTACTGACGGTCTGGAAGTGAAAGAATACCTAGCTAGCATGCACGGATGGGCACGGCAGATACGAGTTTGAGTCCAAATTCATCCAAATTTATGACACTGGGACTCGGACTACGTAAATGTACGGATGACCCAGCCTTGGACTTGAGCTCATAACGTGAGAACTAAGGTTTCGGACACCAAATCAGTAACTGAGTACTCGGGCTCCGATTGGCAAGAAAACAATCTGGAAATATGGTGCTGTAGCTAAGAAAAATTTCACTGACGCTTCAGACATCGATGAAGAGAATATTGTAATGGACATAAAAACACATCTTCTAAAGGCCTTTGTAATCAGTCATGTTAAGTCACGTCATGCAAAGCTTGGCTAGACTAGGGTTGATGGAAATTGTTAACCAGGGTAATGCTTATTACAGGGTGAAATGTGCTAGCCCAGAGTATGCCAAAAATGACTGATATTTTCTACACTTCCAGCAAGGCAAATCAATAAGGCAACAACAAGGCAAATTAATAAGGGAACAACAAGGCAAATCAAAGTTTTTCTGCAGTTTTACTTTCCAGCCCGATCTGTCCACAACTTGCGGAACGCACACCTCGACAAATCACGTTCGTTTCCGTTCGTCGTTGCCACTTGGATAAGCAGATGGGCACAACAGGCCTCCAGCGTCTGGCGTTTCACATTATCAGTCGTTACATTGAAAATAAGCGACCTTTACTATTCCGGCAATAGTGATTAAAGAGTGCAGCAAACTTTGGAGCATTTTTTAGGAGCATACGTCATTGGGACTTCAGAACCAGTTAGTTTAGTAATAACGCTGGGTAATGCCAATGCAGCACCGTCATGATATAATGAGGACGATTATTTGAATCATTTTCTTATCCAACTTACGCTTGAAACGTTTGGTAACAGCATCACAATTTCTTTTTATTTCTTGCTAGACCCAAGGCTAGTAGAGAAGACTATGCAGACGTGACGTAAGCATGGGACTAAAGTTTGGACGCCTTTAGTATGGTTTTTGGTTAAAGCTACGCAAAGGTTGGTCGATACAAGCAACATGATAGCGAACTGAGATTTCGCCAGTGACCTGGGTAGCAATCCTGTTCTGCATCTTTATTTCAACGTTATGGGAACAGATATTGCACATTTTGGATTTAAAGGGTTTTAAAGACAAATCGATACTGCGATTTGCTTCCAAAAAGAGATCATACTAAACAACATTTTCTAGGTCCAGTACCCGCGCCATATTCGTCGAAGTCAACGTGCCTGAACGTTTCTATGTTATGTCTGTGAAATGCATATTTATTTGTAAATACATGAATATCATATGTAATGTTTACGTTAGATTTATAACTGGGTAATGATTGTCTATTTATCTTCGTACTGCAGTACCTACATGGAATGAAACTTTTCGTCGTACTGCAGTACCTACATGAAGTGAAATATGAAAATAAGGTAAGCTGAGAAGGGCAGGTGCCAAAAATTTCCCTGTTACTTTACTACGATTTTCCTATTCGTTGAATACCTTGCAGATCCATGATGCCGAATGGGTTAGGTGAGAAAGGGACGTAGGGAATAATGCCCCATCTACCCTTATATACCCTCAAGACTATTTCCCAGCTGAGATATGGGCCACTGCTCTTAGAGTGGAAGAAATTCTTGTAACTTGCCAGAGATTGTCTCATTTTTAAGGAAAATCTCCTATATTGAACTGAAATGGCGCGCTCTGCATTTACGTCTCCCAGGGCTCAGCCCTCACTTCCGCCATTAGGGCAGCCAACCCTGCATGCACCATGACAACGCCCATCCTAAGGCTACAGGATGTGCATTCCAATCTATCGACGCGCGTCCCAGGGTGCTGCGAGCCTGTCTGGGCCGCCGTTTCTCATCTCCGCCCTATGTTGTTGTTGTTCTGTGTTGTTCTCTTTTACACAGACTGTTTCTCATCTCCGCCCTATGTTGTCGTTGTTCTGTGTTGCTCTCTTTTACACAGACTGTTTCTAAGCACTTGCGGCTAGAGTTTTTTTTAGCTGTTTTCCCCCCTCGCACTGATAGGGGGGGGGGGGGGGCCGATGCGACCCCCAAAGAGCTTTTGATGATACCTGTCCGGCATTTCGGGTAATGGCGCTTAAATTTTCAGAAGCCTGTGTGGCGTCTATTGCGCGTATTCCGTTACCAAAAACCTGTTTCTAGTGTATCTGGTTTCGGAGCAGCGACGTCTTTTTAGGAGCACTACGCGGCGATCTACGGCCTGCGCGTGTGGCGGACGGCAAGCGACGAAGCTGCGGAACGCACGCGACGGGCCGATATTGTGCATTAAAGAGACTGTGCCACACTTGAAGGAGCCAGCGCGATAGCTCTGTGTAGTAAAAATGGTCATTAATGCATAATTGTTTGATTACGTCATCGTACCTTGCACAACACTGAATGAAAGCTATTTGATGGCAGAAAGCTATTTGATTTTATTATGTGAAAATCGTGCTCACTAACGCCAGATGTGAACGATTAGACAAGTATATCTTACCTGGTCTTGCCCAACGCATGGGCAATGGAATGACAGAATTTGTATGGCGTTGCTATGGCATCATGAATGTCTGCGTGGCCTTGAAAAAGTGTCCCGAAAAAGTCTGCATATATTCGCGGGCGTGCAGCTCAGAAACTACAAGGATTTGGATGTGAAGCATGGATGTGAACTGCACCGAACGATCTTGAAGATAGCAATTTCAGTTCAAAACTCCATACAAATGTGGAACACCCCCTAAAAAAGGGAACTATTTCAGAGATGTATGCATTCCTCCAGCGCTTCGTCATTGCATTACATTGAACGATTCCCTGAAATGTTCGTCGTGATATCCATCGCTTGACTTTGACCTGCCATAGATCAACGACCTTACTAGGTGCATGTCATTTTTTATACCAAATGATCTGCTATGCAAAGATCTACAGCTATGTAAAATTTAGCGCGGCTACGCCGAGCCGCTCGGAAGCCATTTTGCAAAACCTTCGGGGCGTCCAATGTAACTCACCACCCGAGTGCGTGTTAAAAAGTTTTCTATGGTTTGAAAAATCGCGGTTTATTTTGTGTGCTGAAGTTTCGTATTTTGGTCTTGCTAGCAGTCATACCTGTCATGACATTGCTTAGCTGCACCATTCCTCAACTTAATCAACTTGCTTTAAAAGCCTTAAAAACACAGCACTTGCCGTGTGATAGCGCGAACTGATTTAAGCTGCCAGTTGTATTTCACGTTTTGTGGGTTCCTAGAATTTCCAAAGTCTTGGCTGAAAATTGGATGAAGACGGATCAATATTGTTATAATTTTTAGACGGCTCATTTTGTCTTGTGTTCCTGCGGTGCGGACTTGAGGATATCTACACTAAAGTTGTTTTCATATACAATGCTTACCCAGGATCAGTATCTTTCTTTTCATGCGATCTGGGTGAGGGCATGC